CGGGGGCGGCCGCGGGGCTTGCAGGGAGTTGGTCCGCTTCACGCCTGCAAGGAGAGGGGAAAATCAGCAACGGCATTTTGGGCTGCGGGGGCTTTGCCTGTGTGGAGGAGCGGGTTACAGCTGGGGAAGGGCAGTGAGGAGCCGAGAGGAGAGAGGTTTGGCCGATGGATGGAGGTGGCTGAGGGTAACGGCTCAGCCCCGCATGCTTTTGGGGTCTGCGGGTGCAGCCCGAGCTGAAGCGGGGAGCATTTCACTAGGGGGACCCCGTGCTGCGCCGATCCACCCGCCAAGGAGGGAGACGCAGGAGAGATGGAGCGAGGACGGGTGGACATGGAGGGTGGCCGGTTGCCAGAAAGCCAACAAACCCAGGAGCATCACTGCGATGCCCGTCGCCTCCCCGTCCCCCTGCACACCTGACCGGCAGCACCAGCCCAGCACCACCGCTGCACAGCATCCCCCGACACAGCCTTGGGGCACGGGTGCACCCTCAAGGGTTACCACCCAAATATGAATTAAAACAGAGGCTCCCCAGGGCAGCCCTGACCCCCCCTCTCCCATTTTTACCCGACTCTCCTGCTGCTGAATATTCCTTTCTTCCCCAAGGAATTAAAGAGGATTTAGATATTTTCCAGACATTTTTAGCTTCACCAATTCAATTTGCAAGCTCAGCTCCTAGACGAAAAGTAGTCCCTGCAACCACCTTTCCCCTTCTGGAGGCAGCCGGGGAGGATCCATGCCCTTTTCAAATTCCTCTCCTTCCGTGGGCCATGGGGTGCCCCTTTGCAGGGAAAAGCACGGCAGGGTCCTGCCTCTCCTCCCTGCACACAGGGGAAGGGATGGGGATCCCCCTCCACGCCTCCCCCTGACCCCACTAACACCCTGGGCCTCCCCATCAGCAAACCCCACACAGCGGTGTAAAGCAGCGGGCGAGCAGCACGGGAAGCCGGCACCGGTGCTCAGCAACATGAAATGGTCTGAAGTCACTCCAGGGCAGGTTTAGGTTGGACATTAGGAAAAATTTCTTCCCTGAAAGGGCTGTCAGGCTCTGGAAGGGGCTGCCCAGGGAGGTGGTTGAGTCCCCATCCCTGGGGGGATTTAAAAGCAGGAGAGATGAGGGGCTTAGGGCCAGGGTTTAGTGGTGGGATGGCAGGGTTAGGGCAACGGTTGGTCTTGATGATCTTAAAGGGCTTTTCCAACCTAGACGATTCTATGATTCTATGAAATCCCTCAGCATCGCTTAGCGCCGCATGTTGAGCGGAGACAACCCTCGCGGGGCTGCCGGCTTCACGCCCCCCC